ACTCAGTCAGTCACTCACTCAGTCACTCAGTCACTCACTCAGACACTCACTCACTCAGTCACTCACTCAGTCAGTCAGTCACTCACTCAGTCATTCACTCAGTCATTCACTCAGTCACTCAGTCACTCACTCAGTCACTTAGTCACTCACTCAGTCACTCAGTCAGTCACTCACTCAGTCACTCAGTCACTCACTCAGTCAGTCACTCAGTCACTCACTCAGTCACTCACTCAGTCACTTAGTCACTCACTCAGTCACTCACTCAGTCACTCATTCAGTCACTCACTCAGTCACTTAGTCAGTCACTTAGTCACTCAGTCACTCAGTCACTCACTCAGTCACTCACTCAGTCACTCACTCAGTCACTTAGTCACTCAGTCACTCACTCAGTCACTTCAGTCAGTCACTCAGTCACTTAGTCACTCAGTCACTCAGTCACTCACTCAACACTCAGTCACTTAGTCACTCAGTCACTCAGTCAGTCACTCAGTCACTTAGTCACTCAGTCACTCAGTCACTCACTCAGTCACTCAGTCACTCACTCACTCAACACTCACCCACTCACTCACCACTCAGTCAGTCACTCACTCAGACACTCACTCAGTCACTCAGTCACGTAGTCACTCACTCAGTCACTCACTCAGTCACTCACTCTGTCACTCACTCAGTCACTTAGTCACTCACTCAGTCACTTAGTAAGTCACTCACTCAGTCACTCAGTCACTTAGTCACTCAGTCAGTCACTCAGTCAGTCACTCAGTCACTCACTCAGTCACTCAGTCACTCACTCAGTCACTCACTCAGTCACTCACTCAGTCACTCAGTCAGTCACTCACCACTCACTCAGTCACTCACTCAGTCACTCACTCACTCACTCAGTCACTCAGTCACTCAGTCAGTCACTCAGTCACTCAGTCAGTCACTCAGTCACTCAGTCAGTCACTCACTCAGTCACTCACTCACTCAGTCACTCACTCAGACACTCACTCAGTCACTCACTCAGTCACCCACTCACTCACCACTCACTCAGTCACTCAGTCACTTAGTGACTCAGTCAGTCACTCACTCAGACACTTAGTCAGTCACTCACTCAGTCACTCACTCACTCAGTCACTCAGTCACTCACTCAGACACTTAGTCAGTCACTCAGTCACTCACTCACTTAGTCACTCACTCAGTCACTCACTCACTCAGTCAGACACTCACTCAGTAAGTCACTCAGTCACTCACTCAGTCACTCAGTCACTCAGTCACTTAGTCAGTCACTCAGTCAGTCACTCACTCAGTCACTTAGTCACTCACTTAGTCACTCAGTCACTCACTCAGTCACTCAGTCACTCACTCATTCACTCAGTCACTCACTCTGTCACTCACTCAGTCACTCAGTCACTCACTCACTCAGTCACTCACTCATTCAGTCACTCAGTCACTCACTCACTCAGTCACTCAGTCACTTAGTCACTCAGTCAGTCACTCAGTCACTCACTCACTCAGTCACTCAGTCACTCACTCAGTCACTCAGTCACTCACTCAGACACTCACTCAGTCACTCACTCACTCAGTCACTCACTCAGTCACTCACTCAGTCACTCACTCAGTCACTCACTCAGTCACTTAGTCACTCACTCAGTCACTCACTCACTCAGTCACTCACTCAGTCACTCACTCAGTCACTCAGTCACTCACTCAGTCAGTCACTCACCACTCACTCAGTCACTCAGTCACTCAGTCACTCACTCAGTCACTCACTCAGTCACTCAGTCACTCAGTCAGTCACTCAGTCATACACTCACTCACCCACCCACCCACCCACTCACCCACTCACCTACCCACTCACTCACCCACTCACCACTCACTCACCCACTCACTCACCCACTCACCACCCACTCACCACCCCTCACCCACTCACTCACCCACCCACTCACCCACTCACCCACCCACCCACCCACTCACCCACCCACCCACTCACTCACCCACTCACCCACTCACTCACTCACCCACCCACTCACCACCCACCCACTCACTCACCCACTCACTCACCCACTCACCCACCCACTCACCCACCCACTCACCCACCCACCCACCCACTCACCCACCCACTCACCCACCCACCCACTCACCACCCACTCACCACCCCTCACCACTCAGCCCTCACCTTGCCTGTTGCAGGTTCTTCTTCGGTAAGAACAAGGTGATGATCCTGGCACTGGGCAAGGGAGTCCGTGACGAGTATCGTGAGGGTCTGCACAAGGTACCACGTGTCTACGTGTCTCTCTCTGTGTCTACGTGTCTCTGTGTCTCTCTCTCTGTGTCTCTGTGTGTGTCTCTGTGTTACCACCTGTCTCTGTGTTACCACGTGTCTACGTGTGTTACCACGTGTCTCAGTGTCTCTGTGTCTCTGTGTCTCTGTGTTACCACGTGTCTCTGTGTGTTACCACGTGTCTCTGTGTCTCTGTGTTACCACGTGTCTCTGTGTGTTACCACGTGTCTCTGTGTTACCACGTGTCTCTGTGTCTCTGTGTTACCACCTGTCTCTGTGTTACCACGTGTCTCTGTGTTACCACGTGTCTCTGTGTGTCTCTATGTGTCTCAGTGTCTCTCTGTGTTACCACGTGTCTCCAGCTGTCTCTGTGTTACCACGTGTCTCTGTGTTACCACCTGTCTCTGTGTTACCACGTGTCTCTGTGTTACCACGTGTCTCTGTGTGTCTCTATGTGTCTCAGTGTCTCTCTGTGTTACCACGTGTCTCCAGCTGTCTCTGTGTTACCACGTGTTTCTGTGTTACCACCTGTCTCTGTGTTACCACCTGTCTCTGTGTTACCACGTGTCTACGTGTCTCTCTCTCTCTCTCTGTGTCTCTGTGTCTCTGTGTTACCACGTGTCTCTGTGTTACCACGTGTCTCTGTGTTACCACCTGTCTCTGTGTGTTACCACCTGTCTCTGTGTTACCACGTGTCTCTGTGTCTCAGTGTCTCTGTCTCTGTGTCTCTGTGTCTCTGTGTTACCACGTGTCTCTGTGTTACCACGTGTCTCTGTGTTACCACGTGTCTCTGTGTTACCACGTGTCTCTGTGTTACCACGTGTCTCTGTGTTACCACGTGTCTCTGTGTGTCTCTGTGTCTCTGTGTCTCTGTCTCTGTGTCTCTGTGTCTCTGTGTTACCACGTGTCTCTGTGTTACCACGTGTCTCTGTGTTACCACCTGTCTCTGTGTCTCCACGTGTCTCTCAGTGTCTCTGTGTCTCAGTGTCTCTGTGTTACCACGTGTCTCTGTGTTACCACGTGTCTCTGTGTTACCACCTGTCTCTGTGTCTCTGTGTTACCACGTGTCTCTGTGTCTCCACGTGTCTCTGTCTCTCTGTGTGTCTCTGTGTCTCTGTGTCTCTGTGTTACCACCTGTCTCTGTGTGTCTCTGTGTTACCACGTGTCTCTGTGTGTTACCACGTGTCTCTGTGTTACCACGTGTCTCCACGTGTCTCCGTGTCTCCACCTGTCTTTGTGTGTATCTCTATGTGTCTCAGTGTCTCTCTGTGTTACCACCTGTCTCTGTGTCTCTGTGTCTCTGTGTTACCACGTGTCTCTGTGTGTTACCACGTGTCTCTGTGTGTTACCACGTGTCTCTGTGTTACCACGTGTCTCTGTGTTACCACGTGTCTCTGTGTTACCACGTGTCTCTGTGTTACCACGTGTCTCTGTGTTACCACGTGTCTCTGTGTGTTACCACGTGTCTCTGTGTGTTACCACGTGTCTCTGTGTTACCACGTGTCTCTGTGTGTTACCACGTGTCTCTGTGTTACCACGTGTCTCTGTGTTACCACGTGTCTCCACGTGTCTCTGTGTTACCACCTTTCTCTGTGTTACCACCTGTCTCTGTGTCTCTGTGTCTCAGTGTCTCTCTGTGTTACCACGTGTCTCTCAGTGTCTCTGTGTTACCACCTGTCTCTGTGTTACCACGTGTCTCTGTGTTACCACGTGTCTCTGTGTTACCACGTGTCTCTGTGTGTCTCTGTGTCTCTGTGTCTCAGTGTCTCTGTGTTACCACGTGTCTCTGTGTCTCCACATGTCTCTGTGTTACCACGTGTCTCTGTGTTACCACGTGTCTCTGTGTGTCTCTGTGTCTCTGTGTCTCAGTGTCTCTGTGTTACCACGTGTCTCTGTGTATCCACGTGTCTCTGTGTTACCACGTGTCTCTGTGTTACCACCTGTCTCTGTGTTACCACGTGTCTCTGTGTTACCACGTGTCTCAGTGTCTCTGTGTTACCACGTGTCTCTGTGTCTCTCTGTTTCTCAGTGTCTCTGTGTCTCCACGTGTCTCCACGTGTCTCTCAGTATCTCTCTGTGTCTCTTTGTCTCTGTGTCTCTGTGTCTCCACGTGTCTCTCAGTGTCTCTGTGTCTCTCTCCATGTCTCCACGTGTCTCTGTGTCTCTGTGTCTCTCTCTGTGTCTCTGTCTCTCTCTGTGTCTCTGTGTCTCTCTCAATGTCTCCACGTGTCTCTGTGTCTCCGTGTCTCTGTGTCTCTGTGTCTCTCTCTGTGTCTCCGTGTCTCTGTGTCTACGTGTCTACGTGTCTCTGTGTCTACGTGTCTCTGTGTCTCTGTGTCTCTCTCTGTGTCTCCACCTGTCTCTGTGTCTCTGTGTCTCTCTCTGTGTCTCCACCTGTCTCTGTGTCTCTGTGTCTCTCTCTGTGTCTCAGTGTCTCAGTGTCTCTGTGTCTCCACGTGTCTCCACGTGTCTCTCAGTGTCTCTCAGTGTCTCTGTGTCTCTGTGTGTCTGTGTCTCTGTGTCTACGTGTCTCTGTGTCTCTGTGTCTCCCCGTGTCTCCGTGTCTCTGTGTCTCTGTGTCTCTCAGTGTCTCCGTGTCTCTGTGTCTCCACGTGTCTCCCAGTGTCTCTGTGTCTCCCCGTGTCTCCGTGTCTCAGTGTCTCTGTGTCTCAGTGTCTCAGTGTCTCAACCTGTCTCTGTGTCTCTGTCTCTGTGTTTCCACGTGTCTCTGTGTCTCAGTGTCTCTGTGTCTCAGTGTCTCCCCGTGTCTCCCCGTGTCTCTGTGTCTCTGTGTCTCAGTGTCTCCCCGTGTCTCCCCGTGTCTCTGTGTCTCTGTGTCTCTGTGTCTCTGTGTCTCTCTCTGTGTCTCTGTGTCTCTGTGTCTCTCTCTGTGTCTCTGTGTCTCAGTGTCTACGTGTCTCTGTGTCTCTGTGTCTCAGTGTCTCTCTCTGTGTCTCTGTGTTACCACCTGTCTCTGTGTTACCACGTGTCTACGTGTGTTACCACGTGTCTCAGTGTCTCTGTGTCTCTGTGTCTCTGTGTTACCACGTGTCTCTGTGTGTTACCACGTGTCTCTGTGTCTCTGTGTTACCACGTGTCTCTGTGTGTTACCACGTGTCTCTGTGTTACCACGTGTCTCTGTGTCTCTGTGTTACCACCTGTCTCTGTGTTACCACGTGTCTCTGTGTTACCACGTGTCTCTGTGTCTCTATATGTGTCTCAGTGTCTCTCTGTGTTACCACGTGTCTCCAGCTGTCTCTGTGTACCACGTGTCTCTGTGTTACCACCTGTCTCTGTGTTACCACGTGTCTCTGTGTTACCACGTGTCTCTGTGTGTCTCTATGTGTCTCAGTGTCTCTCTGTGTTACCACGTGTCTCCAGCTGTCTCTGTGTTACCACGTGTTTCTGTGTTACCACCTGTCTCTGTGTTACCACCTGTCTCTGTGTTACCACGTGTCTACGTGTCTCTCTCTCTCTCTCTGTGTCTCTGTGTCTCTGTGTTACCACGTGTCTCTGTGTTACCACGTGTCTCTGTGTTACCACCTGTCTCTGTGTGTTACCACCTGTCTCTGTGTTACCACGTGTCTCTGTGTCTCAGTGTCTCTGTCTCTGTGTCTCTGTGTCTCTGTGTTACCACGTGTCTCTGTGTTACCACGTGTCTCTGTGTTACCACGTGTCTCTGTGTTACCACGTGTCTCTGTGTTACCACGTGTCTCTGTGTTACCACGTGTCTCTGTGTGTCTCTGTGTCTCTGTGTCTCTGTCTCTGTGTCTCTGTGTCTCTGTGTTACCACGTGTCTCTGTGTTACCACGTGTCTCTGTGTTACCACCTGTCTCTGTGTCTCCACGTGTCTCTCAGTGTCTCTGTGTCTCAGTGTCTCTGTGTTACCACGTGTCTCTGTGTTACCACGTGTCTCTGTGTTACCACCTGTCTCTGTGTCTCTGTGTTACCACGTGTCTCTGTGTCTCCACGTGTCTCTGTCTCTCTGTGTGTCTCTGTGTCTCTGTGTCTCTGTGTTACCACCTGTCTCTGTGTGTCTCTGTGTTACCACGTGTCTCTGTGTGTTACCACGTGTCTCTGTGTTACCACGTGTCTCCACGTGTCTCCGTGTCTCCACCTGTCTTTGTGTGTATCTCTATGTGTCTCAGTGTCTCTCTGTGTTACCACCTGTCTCTGTGTCTCTGTGTCTCTGTGTTACCACGTGTCTCTGTGTGTTACCACGTGTCTCTGTGTGTTACCACGTGTCTCTGTGTTACCACGTGTCTCTGTGTTACCACGTGTCTCTGTGTTACCACGTGTCTCTGTGTTACCACGTGTCTCTGTGTTACCACGTGTCTCTGTGTGTTACCACGTGTCTCTGTGTGTTACCACGTGTCTCTGTGTTACCACGTGTCTCTGTGTGTTACCACGTGTCTCTGTGTTACCACGTGTCTCTGTGTTACCACGTGTCTCCACGTGTCTCTGTGTTACCACCTTTCTCTGTGTTACCACCTGTCTCTGTGTCTCTGTGTCTCAGTGTCTCTCTGTGTTACCACGTGTCTCTCAGTGTCTCTGTGTTACCACCTGTCTCTGTGTTACCACGTGTCTCTGTGTTACCACGTGTCTCTGTGTTACCACGTGTCTCTGTGTGTCTCTGTGTCTCTGTGTCTCAGTGTCTCTGTGTTACCACGTGTCTCTGTGTCTCCACATGTCTCTGTGTTACCACGTGTCTCTGTGTTACCACGTGTCTCTGTGTGTCTCTGTGTCTCTGTGTCTCAGTGTCTCTGTGTTACCACGTGTCTCTGTGTATCCACGTGTCTCTGTGTTACCACGTGTCTCTGTGTTACCACCTGTCTCTGTGTTACCACGTGTCTCTGTGTTACCACGTGTCTCAGTGTCTCTGTGTTACCACGTGTCTCTGTGTCTCTATGTGTCTCAGTGTCTCTCTGTGTTACCACGTGTCTCTCAGTGTCTCTGTGTTACCACCTGTCTCTGTGTTACCACGTGTCTCT